TAGGTGCGTCGTCACCACATATGCGTCATCATGATAGGTGCGTCGTCACCACATATGCGTCATCATGACAGGTGCGTCATCACCACATATGCGTCATCATTGCAGGTGCGTCATCACCACATATGCGTCATCATGACAGGTGCGTCGTCACCACATATGCGTCATCAAAAAAGGTGCGTAGTCACCACATATGCGTCATCATGACAGGTGCGTCATCACCACATATGCGTCATCATGATAGGTGCGTCGTCACCACATATGCGTCGTCATGACAAGTACTTCATTATGACACCTGTTTCGTCAGGGCAAATTTATCATCTGTACCGGTAGAAATTATGATGAATGTTTCATCATTCTTCCATTATTGCCAATACGTCATTTGTCTCCATATATCCAATCACCTTCCATGAATATGTAAGCACAATATTCGGCTGCGTGAGCATAAACTCGACCAATATTGCTATTGCGTCGCATTATTAAGGTATTGATATTCTATTCATGCTGGTCCTATTTACGTTGTACATTTGGTGTTTATTCAGAGAGTTATTGATGGAATACGCAGGCCTGAACTTCAGGTAAACAACGATGTGAAAGAGAACCAAAACCCTTGGCTAAATTGGTTCAATGTTGTGGGCAATTACTTATTTATTATTACAATGGTTTTTATTTTTTTGTGAACTTTGCATATCGTGAGGCCCGTGCATGAAATTTATTGCGGGTGTCAAGACGTTAAAGAGGAGACCGATGAATGTAATCGAGACAATGTATGAAAGGTGAAATGCGTGTGTGCTGATTGTGTTGAAGGGGAGTGTATGAGTGGTGAAGGGCGGTTGTGATGATTGTTTTGAAGGGAGTGTGCGAGTGGTGAAGTGCAAGTGTGAAGATTGTGGAGGAGGGAGTGTATGCGTGACGGTGTGCGTGTGTGATGATTATGGTGAAGGTAGTGTATGAGTGGTGAAGTGCGGTTGTGATAATTGTTGTGAAGCGAGTGTGTGATGATTGTGGTGAAGGGAGTGTTTGAGTGGTGGAGTGCTAGTGTGATGACTGTGGAGGAGGGAACGTGAGCGTAGTGGAGTGCATTAGTATTATGGGACGTTGAAAGTATATAAGTAAAGAAGGCAATAGATGGAGTGTACACATTAGTGCAGCGCTGAGCGATATAATTGACAAATTTCAAGCCATAAGCATATTCGGCTGAAGTTAAGTGCATAATCTTATTGATAAACCGTTGGCCAAATTTATTGGCCAAATATCAAAGGTTATAACTAAAAAGGGAACACTTAAAAGAAATTCGTCTCTAACGGTACAATCGCTACCATTACCGTGAAATTCATAGGACATAATTTAGTATTAGCTCAAAGAATTTGTAATTGAGCAGTAAAATGTTGGAGTTATAAAAAAAGTTGAGATTCCCAGGCATCACTTTTGCGCACTGTGCTGATTGAGAGGTGAACGCACAAACTTTTAGAATTTGTCGCGGACCGAAAATTCGATCGTCGCAGCAAATGAATAAATATCATAAAAACGTAAACATCTTATAAGCTAATAAATATCATTAGGGCCAGCAGGCTGCGGCTGCGTGGTACTCACGTCTCGCCTCCACTCGATGGTGCGCGGGCTGCGCGGTACTCACGTCTCGCCGTCACTCGATGGTGCGCGGGCTGCGCGGTACTCACGTCTCGCCGTACTCGATGGTGCGCGGTACTCACGTCTCGCCGCCACTCGATGGTGCGCGATACGCACGTCTCGCCGCCACTCGATGGTGCGCGGTACTCACGTCTAGCCGCCACTCAATGGTGCGCGGTACTCACGTCTCGCCTCCACTCGATGGTGCGCGGGCTGCGCGGTACTCACGTCTCGCCTCCACTCGATGGTGCGCGGGCTGGGGTTGCTCTGCACTTCGCACTCGAAGTAGACGTCCTCGGCCTCGTTGATTGGACGACCCGCCAGACTTGTGCCCAGGTGCAGGCCAACTCGGGGGGCGACTGTAGGTATAGAATAGGAGCGCCTATTAACTAAATTAAATAAAGTTGTTGCTGGTAAATGATATTATTGGCTAGCATTTCCAAGGATTGGGTTGAAGCGACAAATTTTGTCGGAAGTGACAAATTTTTTGCTCACCATGATTTTCTCACCATGTATCCAATAAAAAATTTCATAATTAACATTGTTTAAACCTACCAATTGATAGTTACGTGCATTAAATTTTTTGTCGAAGTATACTGACTGAAGGAAGTGACACTTGAGGTACTCTGAGGATAATAATGGAGGATTGGACCTAGACGAGCATAATGGCATCACTGACAGACACTTGGCACTGATAGATTCCCTTGCCGCAACATATCGCCGGACGCAAGCGAGCAACATGCAATTGATCACTCACACGTGACGTTGAGGCAGACACATAACTAGTGTACCTCAGAGGAAGCGGCACTGAGACGAGAGATGCTAGTCGTGAATTTTAGCCGTGGAAAGCTTAATTTATTTCTCGGTGTCACTAGTGGATAGCTCCTTGGTCGTCGCCAAGGGTAGTGCTGGCAGCATGGCCTAAACTAACTATAGGTACATATTTTGTTGAAGATAAGATAAGGTAGAAGATAAAATCGGCAAATCTGTCATCAGTGACTTACACTTGACGTTGAGTGAGACAGTCGTAGCAACACCGGGCCCCGGTAGGTGAGGATTGAAGGCTCGGCACAGAATCTTTGCCCCGTGGTCGGTGAACTCTGGGACGAGGCGTAGTCGAGATACCGACCTGCCCTCAGCCTGCTGCATCTGCCACAGGAAATACAATCTTTGGGGGAGAAGCGATTTTGTACACATTAAAATTAATCCAATATGAGACATTAACTAACAAGAATTTATTCGACAATGCACTAGCCCATAAGGTTCCGCTGTTCAAAAAATTTGCTCACGTGCAAAATACTTTCCGTGCACTGTATTTTTAGTAGCGTCTAGTTTGATACGTTTAGGCGGGATCAAAATTGATGAGTGTAAGGTTGGGTTATTGATGTCAAAAGACGATTACAAGTACGATTAAATGACGCTGTGTGCGAACACCACTAGTGTACTAGGTTATACTAGTAAATTATTGATTGACGGAGTCATTGAAGACTATTGATCATTGAAGAAATCACTAATAATTGAAATGATAATCACTTACCGTAGAAGGGAGTTGCTCCGTGGTGCCGGCGACCGTCTTGCTCCAGGTGATATTGGTCGCCGGCCAAGCGCCCTCCGCCTCGCAGTCCAACCGCGCCTCCCGCCCCTCCTGCAGCGCCTCGTGCGTCGCGCTCGAGATTTTCACATGCGTCGGGTGCACTGAACATACGATGTGTTATGCGAGTTACGCTAGGGCACGTAACGCTAAATTACGTTTACATGGTTGCATTACGCTAGGACACTTATTCACTATTGTACACTATAAATACCCTTTACTGTTGTTCAAAATTTTCTACGTTGTTAGAAATTTTTACAAATACCATAAAAGGGTTTGAGCGGCATTTCTGTGGCCAGTTTGTGAAATAAAACTGCGCATAACCGTATTTTTTTAAATTTTTCACATGCTATCAGAACCCCTCACCCCCCATAGGCAGTCGGCCACGAAACGCCTCTCTCACACAGTTTTTTCGCCGCTATTTTGCACAGTTTACTCACAATAAACAGTGAGAGCGACGGTCCTGACGATGGGCGCTGTGAGGTTGGTGTTACTGGCGCTACAGGAGAAGTTGGTGTGGTCGCGGGTCAGCGATGGGATGATGAGTTCGGTCACCACATAGGGCGGTCCACTGCCCTCTCTCAGCCCGAGGCCCGGCACCTGTTTGCCTGCATCATAACTCATCGTGTTTCTGACGGTCACGTCTATCTCTTGTGAAGATAAAATCGTCCCGTCGTGACCGATCACGAAACTTCGGTCCGCCAGCAGCGTCGTTCCTGACCACCATGACACCCGAGGAGGGGGTCGGCCTGATGATATGGTAATTTGCGCGTAATCATGACCGATATTAAATTATATCAAACACGATTTAATGAATTAAATTATTAGATCCGATTTATTCAATTATATTATCAGATCCAATTTAATAAATAAATTATTAAATCCGATTTAATAAATTAAATTATTATGTCGGACCTAAAAATATAAATTATTAAATCCTATTTATTAAATTAAATTAATAAATCTTATTTAGTAAATTAAATATTTATATCCGACTTCATAAATTAAATTAATTAATCCGATTGGGACGGTTGATTGATATTAAATTATAATACCGTGAATCACTAAATGGAAAGACTTGGAGACACGACACCTGTACTAATTGTAATTAATGTTGGTATGTTTAAAGCTTATACAAAACTTCCACAAGAGTATTAGATTTTTCAGCGTGCTAGTATCGTGGTATCTTAATCAAGTTAAAAATAAAGTTACAAATCTATAAAGGGAAGAAAGTGAAATCATAATGCTTCAAAACTGTCGAGTAATGTAATGTGTTACGTAAGCTAAATGTGATTCAACAAAATACGGTAGCAACTGAATTGAGCTTAGAAAATATCTACAAATTTTCAAGTGTATATTTTGAGGGTACTCTTTAGTTCTTCCAATAGCTGCTGCTAAATTAGGTAAGCTAAAAAGTAAATAATGGCAGCTTGAGAATTAGGAGGACCTTGTTAGGCAAAAATAATATATTTTAAAAATATTTGGAATGTAGCAAAAGTAACATTAAGTCAAACACGCATGAGGAGAATCGTATTCTGCGCTTTCGAATCGCTTTTATTTTATACCATTTTCGTACTGAAGAGAAACCACACTGATTGTAGCAATAAATAAATATTTAGAGTTTTAAAAAACAACATGTCACCTGAGTGGGGAGGTTATTAAATTTTTGATTCTATAAACCCATTATCATGATTAGAAACAAGGTTTGCGAAAAAAAAAAACAAATTAGAAAAAACTCGATCTATACACTGTTAGAAAAAAACGGTCCCACTGGCGTTCTAGTGGCCGGTCGCCCAGTGAAAATAAACAGTTTCGCCGTTCTTATCTGACGTTTTACGGATTTCTAGTGTTAAATTAGAATAAAAACGGTGACACGGTGTTTCTTTTCACGTGCCGACCGGCCACTGAAACGCCGGTAAATCGTTAACGGTAATTTTTCTAACAGTGTATTTGCTGAAAAGTTATTGGCAATATTCGGCTAAATATCAGAGGTGAACTTATAGTAATTAGCTGCAATTCGTAGCTAGAATACGTGCTCGGTAAGGTAAGACTATTCGACAATCGAGTGGTTAAGTCCTCTTGAATTTCCAATACTATTAGCAGGACTATATTTTTTGTTAAAGTGCCCGCTGCTCGAATTTATCAAGGCAATTGTATTTAAATGCGTAGGTTCACTGATGTCCGGACAAGGAATTGATCAGAAATTAAATATTTAATTTTTCAACTGGCTTCTAGCAAGTTCTACGTCTTTCATAAGCGGTTCTGGAATTTCATTAGAATTTATAAATATATTTCAAACTTCCGTAATAAGTTCGTTTCTAGTTTGCTTCCTTTCTCCCATCGAAGTTTACTCTTTCTCCAACTTTGAGAATTTCTTTATAAGGGAGTTATGCTATTTTAAAACATTTTTTTACATTTTCAATACACTTCATTAATGATATTTATGATTTAAATGATGTTCAAATGGTAAATTTGGCGAATACTCGGCGGAGTGCAAGTGTGATATTAATGCTATGGTGATGTTATTCTAATTGACTAGTAATAGGTTAGTAAATTGATTTATAACAGTGATTGCTTCGTTTTGCGATAAATTTGAATTTGTCTGTCTTATTTAATATTTAATATTTCAAATATTCAATTTTTACTATTGTAAACGAATTTTACTATTGTCAACGAATGCATCAAATTACACGGGAAATTTATAAGTCATCAATTCACGTTGACTTCTTTGCTCAAAAATTTCTCGTACATATCGCAAGGAAATTCAAATTATGAGTTCAATATTTATGTCAGCGCCTGAGATAACTTCTATTTTGGAAACCTTTCAACAATCGTGGTTGGCTGATTGGATGCATGCATCTTTGCCTTCTACTCTCTAACAGACTTTCAAGCCTCCGCATATCAGAAGGAAAACTGAATCGGACAGTGGTGATGCGAGAAATGGATAGGAATTTTAACTAGCCTGGGAAATAGTATTGAGAGAAATTAAAAACCGGTAAAATTGCACGGGATGCAGTTAAAAATTTGATTCTGTCAACTTTCTCACTGATTACAAAACGTGGTCTAGATAATCAGGATTTTAGAAATTTTTTCATGAACTAACGTATGTCTGATTTATTGCTATTTTATGTGATATCAACTTATTTCTAATTGATCATTATTTCACATGAAATCCACTAATATCTCATTTATTAAAATTTTACAAGCAATTCTCAGACATTCTCATTCAACACTTTGTTGGCCGTTTTTCGTTTGTTCGGGCCGGGAAAATTTCGTAAGGCAAAATCGCAAGTTGAGGTTCTTATTAATAAATTAGTCTAAACAATGATTCTCGTTTCCAGAGACTTCTTATCTTATTAATAGTTTCGAAATAATTAATCTTATAGATCCATTAGGTTTGAATGCAAATATTATTATGCATTGAAGCAAATTGAATGGAATAAAAAAGTGACGAAATTATTATATAATTTATAAAAGCTCACTTAGATAACGGGACGTCAGGGGGAATTTGGATGCACGTTTGTAGACCATTTCCTCTGATTATATCGGCAAAACAAACTCATATACTACACACCTAAGGAATAATGTAATAAGCTGGTTTGCCGTGTATTCACTCTTGATGTACCACGATTTAGGATTTGTTATGGAACATTTGCCGTTAATTAGCCGCGATATAAGCCTGCTTATGAGGCATTCGTCCCTCGGTAATTGAGACACATGACAAGTCTCATGACAAGTCAACATGACAAGACACATGACAAGTGTCTTGAGCGAACGGCTGTGAGTTGCCAAATGCTTTCCATCCTCATGCCAATGGGAGCAACGAATGTGGAACTCTAACATTACGAGAACCAAGTAATTTAGAACATCATGTTCAGTTCTCTATGAATGATTGTTTGTGTTAAATCAAGAAATAAACATCTGATTATGTAGAGCAGAAACAAAAGTTAGTGTAATGTGAGGGAAAAAGCGTGTTGAGACACGGCTGAGGCAGAATTTATACACTTACTTTAAATTTTTTTTATTACATGATATTTGCGAAAAAATTTCCTCCCGACTTAATGGACAATTTCATTACGCAAGAACTGGGAAAATTCTATTGATATATTTTAAATAGAAATGGCTGTATAGTTTTGAATCACACAGACAACACAGCCCGACAAATTGACAATTTCTTTACGAAAAAACTGGGAAAATTCTAATGATATATTTTAAATAGAAATGGCTGTATAGTTTAGAATCACACAGACAATACAGCATGACGCACCTCCTGCAGCGACGCAGTAGAGGGTGAGTTTGTGCCCCTCCATCAACGGGCCCAACATTCCCTCCAACACAGGCTTCCGCTCCCAGTCCTGGATGACGAGTTGTGACGGCAACTCTGTCCAGAAAATAATGGAATATTTATCTTACATTCATATTATAAGTCCAGCAGACTACTCATTATCACACCAACACACTCCAATCATAACCATAAAATAAAACTTATTGTAACTCCTAACATATAAGATAATGATAACTAAAAAAAGCTAAAAAACACTTTATACCCCTCTCCATATTCTGAAAAAAAGTGATCATAACCCAAACAACTCAACCTCGAAAGGAACAACCAACTAGACCCTTAAAGATAACCGTATAAAGAACAGCCTGACATAACCTTTACTATGTATTGCGCACTCAAAACCCAAGGTTGCCTCCCTAAACCAATTAAACCCAGCAATAGAATTAAATCACTACAGGTCAAAGTATCCACGAAATTGTGGTACCCACAATGTAACACTAAAATACCCTACATGGCCTTCTATGTATCTAATTGTCTACAATCCATCGTAACCTCCACATCTAGTGTAAAGCTTCCAAAAAGATATAAAACATTAACAATGGGATGTAGCGTACACCTATCTAATCATCCACACCCCATCGTAACCTACAAAATCAATTGCAACGTCTGAAAGAAAACGTAACCATTTTGCGCAAACCCCATGTTGCTCGAACTAACTATAATGAAGTTAATGATAGCTGAATGGGTTTGAAGGTCAAACCAAAAGGAAACCCTTCTCCCAACAACAAAATATCACCCAACTAACCATAAACAGTGAGGTTGACCAGAGCTGAGAGGGTTGGGGAGTCCAACTAATAGGAAAAAACCTCTCCCAACAACTCAATGTCACCCAACTAACCATAAACAGTGAGGTTGACCAGGGCTGAGAGGGTTGGGGAGTCAAACCACAAGGAAACCTTTCTCCCAGCAACCCAATGTCACCCCAACTAACCATAAACAGTGAGGTTGACCAGGGCTGAGAGGGTTGGTGAGTCAAACCAAAAGGAAACCCTTCTTCCAACAACCCTATGTCACCCTGAAGGCAATAACTGCAAAAGCTGCAGCCACTCTCCTCCCCCGGGGCTGCTGATCCTTCCCCGTACTCCCGACCCCACGAACTCCTCAGGCTCCGAATCCCCGCGACCTCGTAGGTCTAGGCTACATGGGGAGGGGAGAAGAGAGATCAGTAATCATCAGTAATCATCTCCGTCTGATCATTACGAAATTATCAGTAATCACCTCGGTCTCATCACCAGTATCACGCAAGCTCTATTCTTCTGGTAGAGATGGGGCACATAATTATAGAAGATGGCATCTAATTCACGCACGCACTAAATCCAATAATAGATCCAACACTTCATTAATTTCCTTGAAAAAAATACTCATGGATCAATTATTTAAACGGAACTAAATAAAAAAAATGAAGAATTTAGTTCAGTTGACTCAACAACTGAATCTTCATCCGGTGTCATATAAAGTGAAAAAAAGGATTTGAAAATATTATGTGCAACCTAGAGTTTAATGAATAAGTTGGTTGGAATTTCACACAATGCAACTGACCGATTTGGAGGGACTTTGCTCATTCATTTCACACAACGCAGTTGTGAACTAAAGGAAGATCGATGTGTTTTGCGTCACTGATGTCATTATCGAATAGGCGTTGTAAAATTTTTCCTTGAATTGACTTCATTAAGCCCAGAGACGTCGATGCTCGTGTGTAGTGCTCATATGATGTGCTCATATGATGTGCTCATATGATGTGCTCATATGATGTGCTCATATGGTGTGCTCATATGATGTGCTCATATGGTGTGCTCATATGATGTGCTCATATGGTGTGCTCATATGGTGTGCTCATATGGTGTGCTCATATGATGTGCTCATATGGTGTGCTCAAATGATGTGCTCATATGATGTGCTCATATGGTGTGCTCATAGTATGTGCTAGAAGCCGAATTTTACTAATTATTTACGAGGAATATCTAAGTAACAACGGTTGAGTTATAGCACGAGATGAAATCCAGTCTAAAGCTTGAATATAACAACTTTCATTGACAGAAAAAAATGAATACCTTATTTCCAGAAGAGTGTTTCTTCTCTGTTAAGCCTATGCAGGACCAAAGCCTTCATATATAATAGTGAACATTATACTCTATAATATTGACCGTGATTTATAATACCGCTTTCAGTTTCATTGCACGCTGGCACAGTATTTATTGCTTTGCCTTCAATCAATACGCGTACTTCATGGTCATTGTCAGCTCCAGGAGTAATGCATGAGCCTCAGACGCCAAAAGAAATAGCTAGGCTTCGTCTAAGAAGAGATACACTTTCCCGTCCTTGTGTGGGTAACCTTAACGCAGTATAGTGTGTGTGTGTGTGTGTGAAAGTGTGTCACAGTATAATGTGTGTGAAAGTGTGTCACAGTTTAGTGTGTGTGAAAGTGTGTCACAGTTATGGTGTGAGTGAAAGTGTGTCACAGTTTAGTGTTTGTGAAAGTGAGTCACAGTTTAGTGTGTGTAAGAGTGTGTCACAGTATAGTGTGAGTGAAAGTGTGTCACAGTTTAGTGTGTGTGAAAGTGTGTCACAGTTTAGTGTGTGTGAAAGTGTGTCACAGTTTAGTGTGTGTGAAAGTGTGTCATAGTTTAGTGTNTGTGACTCATTAAATTTTCTTGAAGTAGGCCAACAATTTCCTCAATCGCATTGAGCTGAAAAAACGACTCCACTGATGTTGAGTACAGTAATAAGTTTTTGTTAACACGCAATTCAAACCGGAACAAAGCAACATCGATGATGAATGAGGCATCGTATAATGATGGCGCTGCTCTCTCAATGCTGCAAGTCCATTACGATCATTAATGCTCGGGTAATAAAAACTGCGGTACGGATTAATCAGCATATTGGGAGCTGTATTCCTCAGGGAAAAACTCAATGTACGTTTTTAGGGATTATAACTCACCGTATTCAAATTGGGACTTTGGCATGAGGCATCCGAGGCAATAATTCATGCGCATTTAAGAGGCAAAAAGTACGCTGAATTTCGACTCATAAAGAAAAGATTTTACAGCAAAAGCATTTCGCAAGTGACAAGACATCTTTGTAATAAATTACCCTTATATCCCGAAAAGTCGTTTCGTGTTGCTGTGTTGGGTATAGCGAAGTTTAATACCGTCAGCTATGATAAGATTAGCCTTTAAGTGTAACATTGGCGGGAAGTTATGAAAATTTTTGTTGTATTGTAGTGTTATTAAGCCAGTGTAGCTAACTACTCAGTGACTAGGTTGATAACTCATCACATGATCACATTAAAACACAACAAAACTATTTCTAATTTTGGGTCAACGGTACACTTAAGGGCCAATCTTACCCCAGCTGACGATGTCAATCTTCGTCCAGAAACTTGCCGCTATATCCGTTTCTCAAACCGCTACATGTTTTCAGACCTTGCGTGTTTTTATTTAAGTCTTGTCAAAAGGTATTCGAATATCAATGAACTTACGAAAATCGGAATACTTACGACCATTGCAACACTTACGAACACAGCAGCACTTACGACTACCGCGGTACTTACGACCATCGCTGCACTCAGGACCACCGCAGGACCATTATTCAGACTTCTCAGGCTCGTATATCTAATATACCGGCTAGAAATTAGTGGCTGTATTGGCAATAATTTACCGCCCATACAACGAGCACTTGCATCGGAATTCAGCCTTGATTACAAGCGTCGTTCACCTCTGGATATCCGAGCTTCATCAGCTCCAGCTTAACGCTGACAAACCACTGTATGGCCGCCGAAAACACGCCAATAACTATTAGCATTTGAGTTCAGTGGCGTAGAAAAATCTGCTTAAGCATGGAAGTGGTCATCTGCCTGTTAAACCAGGGCCTATTATTTCAAAAAAAGTTAAGAGATCGTAAATTTATCAGCCAATCATTGAGGGCCTTTCAAGCAAAATCCACCAAGTTTAGACAAGAAAATAGAGCGTAAGTACTTACGTTCACTAAGCGAGTTTTGAAAGTATGACCCCAGGATATAAACTTTAAAAATCAATTTTTTTGGGTGGTGGATTTTTTATTTAATTATGAAGTATCCACAGTATTATTATAAATGAATGAATGAATGAATGAATGAGTATATTCACTTACCCTCTGAAGACTGCATTCAGGAGCAGGAACTCCCGAATTTATTTACACGTGAACACTCGCATGTATTTGTATGGTACGTGCAGGCACGCGCAGGTACGTGCAGGTACGTGCAGGTACGGGCAGGTACTCACGTGTAGAAGGGTCTCCGGGCTGCGTTCTTGTACCACATGACGAGGACGGGCACGACGTCGGGGCGATGACGTGCAGCGACGCACGGCAGCTTAGCCACGGCACCGGCCACCGCAGCATGTGATGACATGTTCACTGCACACGGTAACATGTTCACTGCACACGGTACATGTTTTCTGCACACTGCTGTTGAAAAAGTGTGTTGGAGCACTGAAGGCTCCTCTCACAATGCTCTGGAAAGCCTCGATAACAGAGGGAATTATCCCTGAGGGTCTCAAAGTGGGACTGATAACGCCAATCCACAAAGGAGGTCCGAGGGACAGACCCCAAAATTACAGACCTGTGACCTTGACCTCACATGTGATCAAGATTTTTGAGAAGTTAGTGGTCAGGAGGCTTATCCGGTATATGGAAGAGGCTGACCTGTATAATAACGGACAACATGCTTTCCGGCGTAATCGTTCCTGTTTGTCGCAGTTACTGGAGCACCATCACCGTCTTGTGGCCCAGCTGGAAAAGGGAGCTGGCGTGGACGTGGTATACCTAGACTTTGCTAAAGCTTCTGCAAAGTCGACCATGGGGTGCTCTTTAGAAAGCTGAGGCTGTTGGGGGTAGGAGGAAACCTGCTAAGGTGGATCCACAACTTCCTTACAGATGGAGTACAAGCTGTCGCAATTCGAAACTCGAAATCGAGAGAAGCGAAGGTGAAAAAGCGGAGTTCCGCAGGCTCAGTGCTTGGATCGATCCTCTTCCTCATCCACATTGCCGATATCGACTCAGAACTCACCCACGCATCTACATCGTCATTTGCTAACGATACAAGAGTGCTGATGAAGATCACAGATGACCTAGACTGCGAGAGGTTACAGAATGACCTATCGTCAATCTACGATTGGGCCCTAGTGAACAATATGCAGTTCAACGGCACCAAGTTCGAAGTAATGAGATACAGAGTCCGCACAGAGATCGGGATGTCGCATTGCTACTTAGCATCAGATGACACAGAAATTGAGGAGAAGCAACTAGTTCGATATCTCGGAGTGTTGATGAGTACTGAAGCCACGTTCGATGCCCATATCGAGGAAATAGTCGCGCACAGCCGGCAACGGATGGGGTGGATATGGCGGACATTTCGAACGAGAGAAGCAGCACCAATGATTACACTCTTCAGAGCCCTCGTGCTTCCCAATCTTGCGTATTGCTGCAAACTTTGGTCGCCACTCAAGGCGGGTGCGGTGCGGAAACTGGAGGCAGTGCAGCGGACCTTCACGTACAGGTTCAGCGGTATGAGGGAGCTGAACCTGAACTACTGGGAAGGCTGAAACACCTGGAACTGTACTCACTGGAGAGAAGAAGGGAAAGGTATATCATACTGTACACTTGGAAGATGATAAACGGACGGGCTCCCAACTTTGAGAGTGAGACCTCCAAAATAATGACATATTATAACGAAAGAAGAAGAAGACTGTGCAGGATTCCCCCATTTAATAACCGAGCCGCGGCCAGAGTACAGACTCTTCGTGAGGGATCACTGTCCGTGGTAGGACCGAGGCTCTTTAATGCCTTGCCAAAAGCGCTGAGAGGAAGGGAGTTTACCCTTGCAACATTCAAGAGACGACTTGACAAG